ACAGTTAGCCACAGCTAGCTACAATTATCTGTAGCTAGCTACGGCTAGCTATAGCTAGCTACAGCTACATACACTACTCGGGGGGACAGCTTCTTATAGAGGGGGGCATCTGCTGCAGTGTCGTGCAGCAGCAGCTGCTGCTGCTGCAGAGTGTTTGCCACATTCAGCAGCAGCAGCAGCAACAACAACAACAACACCAGAAGCAGCAGCAGCAAAAAGTAACAGCAGCAACAACAGCAGCAGCAGCAACAACAGCAGCAGCACCACGGAGTTAAAAAGCAGCAAGATTGTCTATTAATAAACAATATACATAGGGAAGGAAGACACAAGACAAGGAGAAAAGGATTAAATATATAATAAATTATAATATATAATATATAAAGACAAACAAATACACAAAAAGAAATAAGTAAATAAAAGATAATTTGCTGTTGCTGTTGCTGCTGCTGCTGCAGCAGCAGCAGCAGCAAAAGAAAAGCAGCAGCTGTATTCAAGGATGTCTGCATGTGTGTATGGCTACAGCAGACCTAACAATAAAGGAAGGACATTTTTCTTCTCTTTTTTATTAAATAAACTATTTATTTAATTATATTTATAAAATAATTAATTAAAAATACTTTATTTTAATATATTTAATGAATAATTTATTTATTTTTCCCTCTTTTCTTGTCTTCTTTCTGGCCACCAGCCCCATCGCTTGCATGCATACCTACACACCTACATGCAAAAGTGCTCATAAAATAGCGAATAAAAGGAGAAAAAAGGAGAAAAAGGAATAAAATAAATAAATAAAGATAAAATAGTATAAAATAAGATAGAAATAAAGATGAAATAAGGATGGCACGTCTGCCTATACGTGTATTATCTGTATTAAATGGTCCAATAAGTATAAAAAATATTTCTGAACAAGCTGGGGTGTACGTACACCTCAATAAGCGCATGCATGCAATAAAAGAGCAATTGTTTGGGTATGCAAAGGGGAAAACAGGAGAAATTAGTTGGTTAAAACCATTAAAAGGAAAAGAATTATTAAATTATTATTGGCCTAGTAAATATGATCTACCAGACTTCCAAATGGAACAATACCTACAAATGCAGGTAAGGGTTTAGGGTTTAGGGTTTAGGGTTTAGGGTTTTTGAGGGTTTATTGTTTTTTTAGGGTTTAGGGTTTTTTTAGGGTTTAGGGTTTATGTGTGCATATACGAAGGAAAAAACACCAGAGACGATCAACACCTATCCACTCTCTCCCTCTATTCCTAGGGTTTACGGTTTAGGGTTTAGGGTTTGTGTGTTATAGGCGTTACGTTATGCCCCTAAAAAGACTCACCCTTCCCTAACCTCTCTTGCGGGTTTAATTCATTTATTAATAAAAAAAAAAAAAATTATACAAACCCTAATGCAGCAATTAGATAAACCCTTAATTCATGAGAACCCTACACTACAAGATTTACTCGCGTAAGCTAAACCCTAAACCCTAAACCCTAATTTTTACCCTAAACCCTAAATAACTTTACCTGTATATTACACGCAATAAAGGCATCGACCTAATCAACACCAACATAAACCCTAAACCCTAAACCCTAATCTGATTCCTATCTATTAATGGCATGTATCTACTACCTACCTACTCCTTACGCTAGGGTTTAGGGTTTAGGGTTTAGGGTTTATGTTACAGGTTATATAGATCTCTTTTCTCTGATGATCCTCTGAAGAAAATTTATCCAGAAGAAAAAAGTTGGCGATGGACAGACAACATGAAGCCAGAAACGCGTGAGGGTTTAGGGTTTAGGGTTTAGGGTTTAGGGTTTGAGGGTTTAGGGTTTAGGATTTTAGGGTTTGGGGTTTAGGGTTTAGGGTTTCTTGCGGAGAGAATGCAGGATTGGGCAGATCGGTAGCACTATAGGAAGGCACCTGTAAGGCTCTAGGGTTTAGGGTTTTGAGGGTTTAGGGTTTAGGGATTGGGGTTTAGGGTTTAGGGTTTAGGGTTTAGGGTTTTGTGCAGTTCTTTCCTTATTGGAGTTATCCGCCAAGAGGAGAGGAAAAGTTGACGAAGAATTTAATTCAATTCTTCAGCAGGCTAATAATTGCTCGTAAACCCTAAACCCTAAACCCTAAACCCTAAACCCTTAGTAAACCCTAATTAAACCCTAGATAAGCCCTACCTTATATAAACCCTAGATAAACCCTAGCTCAATAAACGCATAATAAACCCTCCCTAAACCCTAGCTAAACCCTAGGGTTAAACCCTAGCTAAACCCTAATTATTTATTATGTATTTATTGGTGTTTATAGGTCTATTGATTCATTAAAGTTGCTGCTGCAGCAGCAAATGCAAAACCCTAAAAAAGTGTTTCCTGTTGCATTAGATCTCTTTTTTGCTGCTGCTGCTGCTTCCCCGCTGCTGCTGCTGCGCGCTCCTTGTAGCTATCAAGCATCCAGGAAAGGTAAGACTCATGCTGCTGCTGCTGCTGCTGCTGCTGCTGCTGCTGCTGCTCTTACT